AAACCTAACCCTAACCCTAACCCTAACCCTTACCTTTATGTGAATCGGCTTGTTTTAATTTTAATTTTAATTTCAATTTTTTTCGTCGCGCTGTGATGACGTCACGTACGCGCTTTCGTCGAGCGCGCTTTTGTGGACCGCGGTTTTGACGGGTCACGGTCTCGGGATGCAAGGAGAAATTTATTAGCAGCCAGGTTCAGAAAACTAGCCAAAGACTAGTATTGCAAATTCTGAACCACCTTCATCATTGAAGCACACATTCTTATAAATTCTCAAAGGCAGCGGAACACGGACTTTGGGCTTTTGACATAAGGACATTTACTGGAACCTTTACTGGACTTCTGTGGTTTAAGGCTGATGACATTTTCCTGTCTTTGTACACGACTTACAAGCAGGCTTTTCTCTCTCCCTTCTGCCACGTCTGACTTCTATATTTTAATTCACATTTTATCCTGCTTTAGGAGAAGGGGCAAAGGAACTTCACAGGGCAGGGATGCCACTCAGTCTTTCAAGACAGCGGTAATTTGGTATTCGCCCCACTTAGCAGCAGCTCCCAGCCCCCAGAAGCACTGCTTTTTGCGCCTGGAATCTCACCCAGTCTCATCCAGTTTGTTGATGGGGAGAAACCAGAGCAGCTGGGCTCTGAAGACATTCTGTTCATTTTGGGAGTGTTGAAATGGGCTTTCAAATGTGTTTTCTCAGGTTATTTTTTTGTTGTTACCCTTGGATCACTTCAATGTAGGGAAATGAGGTGGTGGCAAAGCTTCAGGTGACTCACAGATGTGGCATCTGGACTCAGCCCCTCCTTCCGGGAACCAACTCTGTAGAGTTGACAGAGAGCAGGGCAATCTCTCTGAACTCAGCTCTAGTACAAACAATCTGGGTGGAGAGAGGAACTCCTGGGTCAGGATATCATGGGTCTGACTCTTACTATTTATATATCTCTTGCAGTGAGTGGAAGTTCCCTCTTTTATGTCAGGGGTAATCCTCTGTCTGTAACAGCTGTCTAACAGGAACAAGTCTGTGAATGACTATGAATGACGCTTTCTCTAGTAAGGCAAATACAGAGAAGGGAGAAGGTTGCACCTGTTGTTACTTTGCTTCTATCCTGCCTTGGGCACAAAGCCAACTGGGTAACATTGGGCCAGCCACTCTCTCTCCCTCTCTCTCTCAGCCCTGGGAAGAAAGCAAGGGTGAGCCACTTATAAGAACTCCGCAAAGAAAACCTCAGGGACTGTACCAGACAGTTTGCCAGAAGTCAGCGATGACTCAAAGCAAAGAGAGAGATGCTTCTGTTTATGATCCAAGTCCCATAAGGTAGACCTTTCGGTCAAACACCCCTTACTGTGGGCTGATATTTACAAACCCACATTTAAATCCACATACACAATCCAGGCTGCCCTTTTCTCCTAACAGTAGACTTCTATTCTTCCTAGTATTGTACTAAAGACACAAGGGTGAATTGGCAATCTTCCCTAACAACAACAACAACAACAACAGGAACAACAACAACACTTCTGCTATTTACTCTATATCCTAAACCACAGATAGTCTTGTAAATGAGTTACTTCTGTTTAACCACCAGTCCTTTGTGTGGCAGCTTGACAGTTAATAGCCCACAAAAATTTACCTGATGGTTCACTTAATCTGATTACTAGAAGGGGCTGGGAAGCTCTCTCGGATTTGAATGAGAGCTTTAGGAGGAGGGAAAGATTCCTAAACGGAGGGAAGGAGAATAGTTGGGAGAGAACAGAATGCAAGGGAAATACCAGATAGTTGGGAAGAAATAAACAAATGACTAGATGGAATGAAGTTAGGACTGTGGTGGGAGTTTGAAAATCTGCTTGGAGGGAGTCCGGATCTTGCCCCTTTCTCTAGAGCAGGGCTGTCCAAACTTGGGAACTTTTAAGACTTGTGGACTTCAACTCCCAGAATTCCCCAGCCAGCCGCTGGGGGATTCTGGGAGTTGAAGTCCACAAGTCTTAAAAGTTCCCAAATCTGGACACCCCTGCTCTAGCCAATCTTGAGAAGCAAAGCAGGGATTCTCAAAAGATCCATCCGCCAAGTCTTGGCTTTCCAATTGGAAAAGGAAACTTAAGCTCAGCATCGTAGGACCGAGCGAGCTCATTCTCGGAAGGGATGGGCACCGACTCGCACGCGCGTCCTTCCGCCAGCAGAGGGCAGCCCTGAGCCGCGGCTGCCCGCTTCCCGCGAAACGATCCCGAGCGGTTGGGCAGAGCGAAAGTTTCGCTCGTCGCCCTCCTGAACGGGTCCTCTTGAGTGTACAAGCACGGATCCCTGAACATCAGGCCGTTACACACCCATAGCGTTAGAGGTGACAGAGAAACAGAGAGCGTACCCGGGTACGTGTGAAGCCGTCGAAGCTTGCGAGAAGAGCTGCAACAGGTGCAGCTCCTCGAGTCCCGGTACAACCCGCCCTAGGAAGGGAAAAGAAGCCCCAAATCTTTACTGTTCACGGGGCCCTGTTGCCTGACCCTTAATCCTGGTTAAGACAATAACTCTCTGGTTAAGTGCGGGTGGGTTTTGCAGATAATCCCCCGCTGAGGTTTGGGCGCCTTAAGAGAGTTTTGTGACTTGCTTGTTACAATTTCTCTCTCAATCCAGACATTGCCTCTTTTCAAAGCACAACCAGGTGTCATTCCCGCAAAGAAACCGTTTGTTAGACCAGTGGTCTCCAACCTTGGCCACTTTAAGACTTGTGGACTTCAACTCCCAGAGTTCCTCAGCCAGCTTTGCTG